AACGTTACGTTTTGCAGGAGGACATGGAGCAGGTGGCAAATTTACACCAGACTCTTCTTCGCTTTCCGACGAAGAGTAAATTTTTCTCGCTCTATGTTTTCGGTAATATTTTGCTTCCTTTTCCGTGTCCATATCTGACGTGTATAAAGCTTTCTCTGCCTTCGCATAAGCCTTCTGTAAGGACGCTGAAAATATTATAAACATTAAATATTATAAATAAGTAAAATATTTATAAAAGTCAGTAAAACCCTATACTTAAATATAGTACTTACAATATTCGCCAAAAATTCTTATAACTTCTAATGCGGGCCAATCAAACTTTGGTATCTCCTGTTTCTCTACCGCTTTTCGGATTTTTATATCCGTCTTAAAATGCGAGGGATATTTGCATTTATCTTTATTTTGCAACCAAATTTTTGGTATTACTTGAATACCATCCGGGAATTCTGCGACGACAAAGCCTTGATTCGACATCTTCCAATGCGATTCTAAAAAAGAGCTTCTGCGTGTAATATTGTAATAAAAAAAGAAATCAATTTATATAGATGTGTTTTGTGTATATGTGTATTGTTATGTATATGCATTTGTTATGTATATGTAATTGTTGTCTCAACCACAATTTTGTCAGTTTATTTAAATTTTGTCAATTTATTTTAATTTTTTATTTATAAAAGATATTACAAAGCGGAGCGCAATATGTAAATATTATAAATGTGCGGTGCTTATAAGCGGTATTACTGCGAAATATCTTTCATTTTTATATGGCAATTTTATAAATTTAGATCTAATTTTATGTAAAGGCCAGACTTGAATGTCAGATAATTTACTCACTTTAAATATATCCAAATGAACAGAACTACATGGATTATTATAAAGTTCTTCGACAACCTTAAATTTACGACCTACTGCAATATAATTGCCTTCACTCGATGTTGCGATATTTTCCAAACAAACGATATCTTTATCTATGAGACAACAATTATCAGGAGATTTGACTGAAATAATAAAATGAGGAAATTCAATCTTCGAAAATTGTGGATTAAAACAACCTGATATTAGCGGTCCTCTCTCGTGTGGATTCTTTACATTTATTTTTGAAATATTAACATTGTCAGAATTTACTTTACAAAAACTCATTTCCGCATAGCGATTGCTAATTTGCTCCAATGGTTTTTCAGATTTTCTTAAAATAGATTTTAATTCTTTCATAAAATTTTCAAACGGAAAGGCACTGAAAGTATCTAACGGCCCAAATTGTTTTACGCAATCAGTAATGTGTAGAAGCCCGTGAATATTATGAGACACAAATTCGGGCCCGTAAATTTTAATAAAACATTCAACGAAATATCTCAATAATTTGCTCGCGTATTCAATATATTCAGCCGTACTATTATTTTGACATAAAATACGAACAGCAACATGCAAAGTGAGAAAGTTGGAAAATACATCAGGCTTTAATTCTTTTTGCAATACAACGGGACCGGTATATAACAAAAATTGTCTCAATTCGGTTGCTTTCCACTGTGCAAAATCTTCAATTTCTCGCGGTCTTCTCGCAAATTCTTTCGGAATAAAATGCCTGATATCGAGAAGAAATTTGGAAATATTTTGTATTCGTTGCGAGGATAAATATCTAGCATTAAGAGGACCGCATATCCATAATTTTATTAGCTTCTTAACAACGCCGATACATATCAAATGCATATAATCTAATGGAATTTGAGACACAATGTCAAAATTTGGAATATTCAATAGAATAGGACGACCGAGATGGTATTCTTCTTGGGTTTGATTACGAAAGTTAGCGTCTGTTCTTTTTTGCCAATCAAAATCGGGAAAACAAATTCTATTAGCGATAAAATCACCTTCAATTGTACATTTCGAACAGCTAAAATAACCAGTATGTCCTTTAGTAAGCGTAATAAAAGATTTAGCCGGAGCATCACAAATGATAGAATGTATCGACACTGGGAATGTTGTTTCGTTATAAGTTATGCCTTCATTAATTAAAACTGTAACATTTTTTACAAATTGTTCTAAGAATTGATTTGCATCCGCTGGTTTGGTTTTGCCGAAATAACAACCAATAAGAAATACTTTCCCGTGAGGCATAATACGACCTAAAATGGGCCATAATTGATTTGAATTGGATCGAGATATTGGTAAACCATCAATACCGATTTGAATTTTAATAGAAGATGAATTATTACTTTTAGATAAAAATTGCAAAATACTATATTCCATACCCAAATGACAATATTGACCAGGAAATATCTCATTAATAACGTTAGAAGATCGTGGTGTACGTAATAATGTCTTTGCACATTTTGGCAAATTAGAAAAAATTGGATGCACTTTTTTTAAACCAGACAATAAATGTGATAAAGCTACATGAGAAATACGATGCGTAATAGCCCATTGTACTAAAAATGTTTCAAAATCATTGTTTTCGTTTTCTGAATTATTATCCTCTCTGATAAAGTGTGGCAATACATTGTTTAAAGAAACATCAGATTCGGAGATTCTCGTTTCACTAGAATGTGTTAAATTTGCCTCTTGTGTTTCGAAAAGAGTATTATTCAAATTAACATTCCCAGAGTCATCATTATCATTACTCGAAGCGGAATTATTTAAAATTATGTGCGAATTGGATCTACATTCATTATTATCCGAATTATCCGAAGTAAAATTATTTTTAATTTCGTGCAAATTGGCTCTACGTTCTTCATTAAAGACAAGTGAAAATAATGCGTCACTCTCTTCTCGAATTAACTTACGGCGATACCTCGCTGAAATACGCGACAGACATTTGCGTTTCGACATGGTTGATTGGATTTATTATGTAATATTTGTAACGTATACGTGATAAATGTAACGTATTTTTAAAATATGTAAATAATATTTACTGTGTGGGTGTGCGTGTGTGTGTGTGTGTGCGTGTGTGTGTGTGTGTGTGCGTGCGTGCGTGCGTGCGTGCGTACGTGTGTGTGTGTGTGTGTGTGTGTGTGTGTGTGTGTGTGTGTGCGTGTGCGTGCGTGTGCGTGCGTGCGTGCGTGCGTGCGTTTGCGTGACTGTCAAGTAAAATTATTACAGATTACAAATTATACTTGCTAAATTTTTTTGATTACTCTCCTTGAATCTCCGTTGAATTAATGCGTCTTATACGCATCTACAGCCCATGGGAAGTCAGGAGGAAAAGCGCACGGCGACGAGCTTTAAGGTCGATAATCCTAATAACATTCATGCGAATTAGTATATTCATCATTATATTCGACACGGAATTCTTTACAATTATATGCGAATTGAGGACTCTATACGTTTTTTATTATACAGAAAAGTGTGTAAGTCAAATTTATCATTCTCTTTTCGAGTTTACAGCGTCAGACATTTGCGTTTCGGAGCGATTAATTGCATGTATAGTAATATTTAATCAAATTTAACATTTACAATATATATAAATAATATTTACTGTGTATGTATGTAACTGTCAAATAAAAATTATTAAAGATTACAGATTACTTGTTTAATTTTTTTTATAACACTCCTTGTCTAATAGTATATATTGTCCGAGTAATATAATCACAGCTGAATTATTAATTGCATGTATTGTAATATTTACCCAGTCAGAAATCATCCATCGAATTGACATATAATCGACGTCGAAATCATCACAATTACATCGAAGTACATGTAATTTCGATAATTTCGACGTCGATTATATGTCAATTCAATGGGTGATATTTGACTGGATAAATATATATATTACAATACATGATGCCGATTCGATTAATTATTTCTCGCCGGATAACGTTTAACTATATATACGTAAATATGCACACTCAAATAAAAACTATTCAATACTACAGATTATACTTGCCTTATTTTTTGCCAGCTCTCGTTGTCTACAGTTCATCAGAGGAACGGAACAGCGAACAGCGACGGACTTTATCGCCGGCGACGACGTCCTAAACAACATTCATACATGCAAATTGGCTCTATATTCTATATTCATCTCATTATCCGCAACGAAAGAATTTATAATTACGTGCCAATTGGGAACTCTACGTTTATTACAGACGAGTGTATATGATTCATTACTCTCTTTCTGAATTAATTTTTTGGCGGTATCTCTGGTCATATGCGCGACGGACATTTTGGCGCGCTTTTTATTGCATGTATTATTATTACCGTTTAACTACGTACATACGCACTTTATTCAAATAAAAACTACTTAATATGTATTTCAGATTATACTTGCCTTATTTCTTTGATAGCTCTCCTTGTTCAATGCTAATATCTCCTGTAAAATGCTCACGGCTAATCGACGGCGCGTCTTGCACGGATCGCAGACGGGAACGGAAGAGGAGACGAGCACGGCGACGGTCCGCGGCGTCTGCGAGTCCCTAACAACGCTGGTACATAGCAACGATTGTTAGTTACTATTGTATTATTAATTACAACTAACAATCGTTGCTATGTACCAGCGTTGTTAGGGACTCACAGACGCCGCGGACCGTCGCCGTGCTCGTCTCCTCTTCCGTTCCCGTCTGCGATCCGTGCAAGACGCGCCGTCGATTAGCCGTGAGCATTTTACAGGAGATATTAGCATTGAACAAGGAGAGCTATCAAAGAAATAAGGCAAGTATAATCTGAAATACATATGATACATTGGATACATTGGATAGAAATACATTGGATATATTTAAAGTGAGTAAATTATCTGACATTCAAGTCTGGCCTTTACATAAAATTAGATCTAAATTTATAAAATTGCCATATAAAAATGAAAGATATTTCGCAGTAATACCGCTTATAAGCACCGCACATTTATAATATTTACATATTGCGCTCCGCTTTGTAATATCTTTTATAAATAAAAAATTAAAATAAATTGACAAAATTTAAATAAACTGACAAAATTGTGATTGAGACAACAATTACATATACATAACAAATGCATATACATAACAATACACATATACACAAAACACACTATATAAATTGATTTCTTTTTTTATTACAATATTACACGCAGAAGCTCTTTTTTAGAATCGCATTGGAAGATGTCGAATCAAGGCTTTGTCGTCGCAGAATTCCCGGATGGTATTCAAGTAATACCAAAAATTTGGTTGCAAAATAAAGATGAATGCAAATATCCCTCGCATTTTAAGACGGATATAAAAATCCGAAAAGCGGTAGAGAAACAGGAGATACCAAAGTTTGATTGGCCCGCATTAGAAGTTATAAGAATTTTTGGCGAATATTGTAAGTACTATATTTAAGTATAGGGTTTTACTGACTTTTATAAATATTTTACTTATTTATAATATTTAATGTTTATAATATTTTCAGCGTCCTTACAGAAGGCTTATGCGAAGGCAGAGAAAGCTTTATACACGTCAGATATGGACACGGAAAAGGAAGCAAAATATTACCGAAAACATAGAGCGAGAAAAATTTACTCTTCGTCGGAAAGCGAAGAAGAGTCTGGTGTAAATTTGCCACCTGCTCCATGTCCTCCTGCAAAACGTAACGTTATAAGCATTTTCATTGCGCGCGCCCGCGTGTGTGTGTGTATATACATACACACACACGCATTCAATGTATATATATTTTCTTCATTAAATATATGTATGTATATATGTGTAAAACTCTCTTATATCTCTTATATTTAACATATTGTATTATATATTTTATACATACATTTACACATATATATTTTACATATATTTTATTTTATTAATATATAATAATATATTGTTTTTATGATTCATGTAAAATTATATTATATTTAAATTTCTTTAACTTTTCTTTATATTATAGCTTGAATCACTTTGATGATGTCGCGTATTGGAATCAAAGTTTTCAAAACACGTGGTAAAGTATTTATGGCGAACACAAAGTCACCTTACATCGATTCTAATACGTTACATCATCACCGAAATTCAGTATAATTTCGAACGTTGGACCGTTAAGACGTGTTGATACTTTTATTTTTTCTTTTGTAATAAATAAAATTTAGAGTGGGTCCGATGCATCTGGGAAAATGCTAACGATAAATCGTAATCTTAATTTGAAATAAAATTTAGAGTGTTACAGTGAAATGAGAAGTTCATAAAATCCAGACTATATAAATTCTATCAAAATTAATTACTAAAATCTTGACACAGATCAACGACTCAACGATTCAGATGTATCTCGGATACAATGTAAAACTACATCCAATGTACGCTCTTCCGAAAAATCACAATCATCGCAAATTACAAACTCGAGCTCCCATTCATCATTTTTACAAGGTGAGAATTCGCAACATTACATAAAATTTCATATTTATAATTAATATTATTAAAGTTACATATATATATATGTCAAAGGGTTTGTTCCGAGACAGTTAAAAATCTTACAGTTTTTAAATACATTTTAATAAAGCAAACTGATTGTGACTTAAAAAAGGTTAATGTTTCTTTCCGTTCTCGAGATATTATGTTTTAAAGTCTTCCAATACACTTGCATAATGGCAGCTTTCAGGACAATAGTGATTTCCAGGACTGCCCTGGAATAATTCTATGTATAATGGTGTATTCCAGGACAAATAACAGTGTACGATGCTAAAAATGTTTCTATGTTAAGATAAATTCACATTATTACCCCATTTGTCTTGCTCGCTTTCAGGACGAAAGCGAGCAAAATAAACTTGGCCAATGATATTATGGATGCGTTCGGGGAAACGCGGTTAGCGCTATTAACATTTCTCCTTCGTGTTTCTTCTTTCTAAACAAAAGGAAAAACGAAGAAAAAGAAACGCTGGTAGCGCTCTCCCCGAACACACCCTATGTGTATAATGTGATTTATCCTTAAAATACATGTGATCTAACCCTTATTGCAAAACGTTGGTATTACCGAATGCAACACATGCTGTGTGCCGGTTTTGTATGCAGGTTATATAGCCTTGAATTGCGCGGTACTAATATTAGTTTTGATGAAAATATTTCATTATTTTTGGTATTTTTAGCTTTTTACTTTAGCCAAACTATGTTTTCTTTACTCAAATTGAAACATACTAAAACATTAATAGTTGTGAAATCTACTAGTCTAATTAAAAAGAAAAAAGATTATTTGATAAAATTAGACAATGGAAAACGATGGGTTGGAATATTTCTTTGTAAATCGGGTAAGTAAAATAAACTGATTGTGACCTAAAAAAGTTAAATGTTTCTTTCCGTTCTCGAGATATTATGTTTTAAAGTCTTCCAAGACACTTGTATAATGGCAGCTTTCAGGACAATAGTGATTTCCAGGACTGCCCTGGAATAATTCTATGTATAATGGTGTATTCCAGGATGTGAAAAATAAAATATTATTTAAAATTTTTGGATGTTTAGAACATTATAATAAATATAAATAATAATAAAAAATACAAGAAATTGCAATCATATCCAATTGGTTCAAATGAAAAAATATTTAAAAAATGTTACGGAAAAAATGCAATTAATTTTAGTTATTTTCAGATGAAAGACACACTCTTATAGAAATAAAAAAGAACATAGATACCAACTCACCAAAAATTCTAATAAAGGATGTTAACAAAGGGTCAAGTGACCAATGTGAAAATAATGAAACTACTGGTAATTTTTATATACTGATTTTTTTTATAATTATAATTATTGCCTATTATACTGCATAAATTATATGTGAAAGATCAAATTCTTTAATATTGTTACTTTTAGTATTTAAATACTGAAGTTTCAATATTCTAGCACTGTGCTGTAAGAGAATCTTTGTCGAAAGTACATATCTTAAAATATATCTTATCAGACCTCTATTCTAATATTAAGTAAATCAAATGATACAATAATTTAAGCATTTAATAGAATCTTAATTTAATTTTAATATAAATAAATTTAATTTTAAATAATAAAAATGTATTGCGTGTGAAGAAACATAGAAATGATACTAACGCTATACTAATTATAAGTAATTTCTATACTAATAATTTGTAACAATCTTCAGAATTGCTTCACAAAGTAAATTTAAGAATGCACAGTTTAACATTGTAGATGCAGTTGGTTCACTGAGAGTGAAGAGCAGTGAAAGATATAATAAATTAACAAAGATATATGTATCATTAAATTATGAAGTATGTAATAAGTAACAATTTAATTATTATAAAAAAAAATTATGTTATAATATTATTAAAAAATTGTTATAAATAATAAACTGCTATTCTACCCAGATAGCACAATAGTTTGCAAAGAGTTCAAAAGAGTTCAAAGAATTTAGTGAAGCTTCAATAAATTCTTTGCGAACTCTTTTGAACTCTGCGAACTATTGTGATATCTGGGTAGCATTACGCAGTAATGAAATCTTTGTCGAAAGCAATTTTTAATGGACACAAACAACAATAAAAGCCATACGTGTAAGTTATATTATTAAGAGTAATATTTACAAAGATGTTTTTGAATTATTTGCAGGTAATGAGCCAATTAATATAACAAATAATGACAAATGTGCTTCCAATGCAGACACAATAAATCAGTTTCATATTCAACATGAGGAATCAAATACTATAGTAAACTCATATTTAGATTTGGATGTGAAGTCCGATTTTCACAATGATAAATTACAGAGCAATGTTATAACTAATGAAAATTTACAAAGTCATACATTAGATAAAACTAAATCTTCTAAAAACTATCCTCGAATTATAGAAGACAAGAAATGCAAAATAAATATGACTATTTTATCAAAAAGTAGTGACACAACAGCAAATAGTTCATGTAATACATCTATTCTGGGGAATTTGGAACTTTCTGATGTAAATCTTTGTTCGAAATCGAACGGATAAAGAAAGCTGAAAGGAAGGGCATTAATGTATTACAATCAAATTCATGCAATATAAGCATGCAGCATGCACATTACGTATATAAAACCTTAAATTGTAACAGGCAGACTTTAATATTATTTAAATCGCGCTCGGCCGCACAAGTATACATATACCTCGCGCCTGCGAAAAAAGAAGCGCTTGCGTTAACTTTCACTTTAATCGTAAACACCGCGGTCGCGCGAGAGGAGAGAAAATCAAGTGCCAATAACAACAAAATATGACTTGCTAAAAGGTAAATAATTATCGTAAACGTACTTTCGCCCTTAACATCTCGATCGAACAAGGGAAAATGTTCGCGAAGGTTCTCGAAATCCGGGCCTATATAAACCTCCTCTCTCGTGACCGCGGTGCTCTTTCCGATTGCTCGTCGCGAATAGAGTGTGCTTCTACTTTCCGAAAAAGATCGCTTGTCTTTTTCGGTTTTCTCGTCTAATTACCGTTGCTTGCGGAACAGTCAGTAATTTATTTTCGACCCGGCTTTTCTCTCGTTTATTGCATTCATTTCTTATACATTCGACTCGGCTATCTTTTGGTAATTTCTGTGCGGTAAAACAATTGTAAATTTTGTTAATAGTTGAAATATATTTTTTGTTAACGATACGCGTGTGTCGAGTGTAGTGCCTATCTATCGTCTCGCTTCCGACCGCCCTTTCCCGCTATCCGTTGTGCACATTTTTTGGTCCTTCGAGCCGGATACTTATCCGGAACCTCCTGTTAATCCGGTGCCACGGAAGCGATCGTGATTAAGTGTCGGTGACCAGTGCCCCTGGAAAAGAGAGACAGTGTGAGAGATGGCAGAAACAAAGGCGATCATTGCCACCGCCACGGTACTATACGGCAAGATCTCGCGCGCGTACGACAACTTGCGGAAGCTCGGCGAGGCCAACATCACCCTCGGCGCAGTAGAGGCCCGGCTTCAAAACCTCGAGAAGCTGTGGGAAAAGTTCGACGCAATTAACGATACGCTAGCCGATCGTGTGGAAGAGATAAAACATGATGTCTACGCCAAGCAAGACATCCCGTCATTAGGTGAGGAAGCTTACCTGCAGAATAAGGGCCTCATGCTCGACCTAAAGAGCGCTCTCCAGCGGCGGCTGCAGGCAGCCAGCTCTACCTCGGCCGCGCCAACGACCTCCGCTCCTCGGACAGCGCTGCCAAAAATCCAGCCACCGACCTTCGCCGGGAAGTACGAAGACTGGCCGTCCTTCCGAGACCTCTTTCAATCCATCATCGGCAGGAACCAGGCAGCCAGACCTGTTGAAAAACTGCATTACCTCAAGCTCTGTGTAAAGGGTGATGCGGAACTGCTAATACGCAATTTGAGTACGACGGATGAAAATTACGAGATCGCCTGGAAGACGTTAAGCAATTTCTACGAGAACAAGAGGTTGTTAACTCGTAACTACCTCAACAACTTTCTGGCTCTTACTAAAATGAAGAGCGAATCCGCAGCTGAGCTAGGGCGACTCTTCCACGGCGTAAAAACAACCGTAAGTTCGCTGAAGAGCATCGATCGTCCCATCGACCGCACGGAGGACCTCTTTGTTCACCTTGTAGTTGAGCTGCTCGATAATCGTTCGCGTCGCGAATGGGAGAGCGTCATCAGCCACACCACCAACCCGCCTACCTACGCCGAATTGGAAGGATTCATAGAGCGACGGCTGCATACCTTAGAGGCTCTGTTTCCTGTGAAGAACGACAGCCGCAGCAGCAGCGACACCAAAGCAACTCGAAGCCATCACGTAAAGAAAACTGAGCCGAAAGACAGGTCCAGAAGTCGGTGCGCCGGTTGCCAGGGGGACCACTTCATAATGTTTTGCAGCAGCTATAAGAAGAAGACGGCTACAGCGCGCATGCAGTTTGTACGCGAACAGAACCTCTGTTCTAACTGCCTGGGGCGCCACCAGCTGACTGAGTGCGCGTCAAAAAAGACCTGTATGACGTGCGGCAGTCGGCACCACTCTTCTCTGCACGACGCCTTCCGCGACGCCGAGACCGCTACGACATCACACGTGGCTCAAGGACAGCCCTTCGCCTCTGTCACTGTGCTGCTCGCCACTGCTCGAGTCCGCGTCCTCGATCGTCACGGATCATGGCATCCCGCCCGAGCTCTGATCGACCAGGGCTCAGAGACGACCATAGTTTCGGAGCGGTTGGTTCAACGACTGCGACTGCCTCGCACGTCTGCCGCCGTCAGCGTCTATGGACTCGGCGAGCAAAGGACGGGAATCGCCAAGGGCAAGGTCAAGCTCACCTTTCGAGCGCTCAACGGTGAGACGTCCAACTCCGTCTCCGCCTTGATTTTGCCGAAGCTGACTCTATTCTCCGGAGGATGCCGCCGAAGCCTGCAATCCTGGACACATCTCAGGGACCTGGAGCTAGCCGATCCAGAATTCCATTCCGCTGATCCAGTAGACCTTCTGCTGGGCGCCGACGTCTACGGATTAATCATCCGCCAGGGTCTGAAAAAGGGAGGTCCTCAGGAACCGGTGGCACAGCAAACTTCGCTAGGCTGGATACTCTCAGGAGCCATCAACGAGAATACACGCTGCCAACGTATGTCCTCCCACCATTGCCAAGTGGAGGAAGACCTCACCTGTTTGGTACGTCGCTTTTGGGAGCAGGAAGAGGTTCGACAGCCGTCTCAGCTCTTCACCAAGGTCGAGCGGGAGTGCGAGGAGCACTATCGTCAGTACCACACACGCAACGCCGATGGCCGGTACGTCGTGCGCCTGCCCACGACGGAATCTCTACCGGATCTCTCTGGAACAATCCGCGCCGCCCGCCGGGCTCTGCAACATACAGAGAAGAAATTTGATCGAGAGAGCGAGTTCAGAGGTATGTATGTCAAATTCATGCAACAGTACTTAGACCTGCGCCACATGATGCCTGCTCCGCCTTCGACTACCACGCGTCCTGGAGCTTGCTATCTACCGCATCACGGGGTCCTGCGTCCTGACAGCACCTCCACAAAGCTGAGGGTAGTCTTCAACGGCTCGAGCTCCTTGCCAAACGGAGACTCTCTCAACAGATATCTAGCAACGGGACCGAATCTACTACCTTCTCTGGCCGACATCCTACTGAGTTGGCGACGCCATCGCTACGTCTTCGCGACTGACATCGAGAAGATGTACAGCAGATCCTTGTGCACCCCGACGACCAATGTCTGCAAAGGATATTATGGAGAGAGAGCAGCAACGACGAAGTAAAGGAGTACTGGCTAAGTACCGTTACTTACGGGCTTTCCTGTGCTCCTTATCTGGCGATCCGTACTTTGCGCCAACTTGCCGAGGATGAGGGACATCGCTACCCGAAGGGAGCTCTCATCCTGCTGAGCGACGTTTACATGGACGACATCCTGGCAGGCGCGGAGACCATGGAGGAAGCCGAGGTCATGATCCAACAGCTGAAGGAGATCTGCAGGGCGGGCGGCTTCTCGCTTAAGAAATGGTCGGCAAACCATTCGCTGTTACTGAACCAAGTGGAGCCCGACGACCGGCTTCGACAAGAGTCTAGATGGTGGCTGCCCGGCGAGAGTCACTCTACGCTCGGTCTAAGATGGCAACCTCGTGACGATCTCTTCGCATTCGCTACCAAAGCGATCACACTGTCGACCTTCAGCAAACGGTCGGTACTTTCGTTGACAGCGAAGATGTTCGACCCTCTTGGCTGGCTGGCACCAACAACGATATTGGCAAAAATCTTTATCCAGTCTACCTGGTTGCTAGGTCTGGATTGGGACGCTCCGCTACCTTGCGACGAAGCGAGAAGATGGTTACGATTCCAGAGCGAACTGCCGGCTCTGGAAAAAGTAATCGTACCTCGATGGCTGGGAGGTGTGACTGAATCAATGTTGGAAATCCACGGATTCGCCGATGCCTCCGAGCGTGCCTACTCCGCAGTGATCTACCTGAAGAGCAAAACAAAGGGCATTACTAAGGTGACTCTCTTAGCTGCCAAAACCAAGGTCGCGCCATTGAAGCAGGTATCATTACCTCGACTGGAGCTATCTGCAGCGACTCTTCTGGCCCGTCTCGTCGCCCACACCTTGCCGATCATCGGAGCTGAAAGAGCACCTCTTCACATGTGGTCAGATTCCACAGTCACGCTCGGCTGGATCCGAGGACATCCATCGACGTGGGCCACCTATGTGGCCAACAGGGTCAGCGAGATACAAACGCTGATTCCTGATGCCCACTGGCATCACGTACCAGGACGAGAAAATCCAGCGGACTGCGCTTCTCGGGGACTATATCCTGGTGAGCTGGTTGACCACCCGCTCTGGTGGCAAGGTCCGGAATGGTTAGCAACGGAGAGCAGCCCGTGGATAAATAGTGGAGAGGAGATTCCAACGGAGGACCTCCCAGAGAGACGAGTCCGGGCCCACGCCGCCGCCGTTGCCGAGCTGGAACCCGAGTCAGAATTGCTGCTGCGCTATTCTTCTCTGACCAGACTGCTGCGGATCACTGCATGGTGCCGTCGCTGGTGGCTGATCCACCGCCAGCTTCGTCACCCTCAAAGCCAGTCGAACGAAATCAGCGCCGACGACCTGACGGAAGCCCGCCTCTCCTGGGTTAGATTGATCCAGGCTGGAAAGTTAAAAGAAGAGATTAGACGGTTGCGACATGGAACGCCGCTGCCGTCGCGAAGCGCCCTGCTGAAACTAAATCCATTTCTGGACAGCGAGGGACTCCTACGCGTCGGCGGGCGCCTCAGCAACGCTGACCTGCCGTATGATGCCACTCATCCGCTAATACTGCCCAGCGAGTCTACCTTCACTAACCTCGTCATCGATGACCACCACCAGCGGACTCTACACGGCGGGACGCAGCTGACTTTATGCTCTTTACGCCAGGAATATTGGGTTCCTCGAGGTCGCTCGCTGGTGAAGAGACGCATCAGCCGATGCGTCAGGTGCATAAGATGGCGAGCCGCCATCCCACAGCCTCTCATGGGCGACCTCCCGGAGCCAAGGGTCAAACCAAGCAGGCCGTTCCTCCACGCCGGCATCGACTACGCCGGACCGGTTTGGATGAGAACCTCTAAGGGTCGCGGACACAAGGCATCGAAAGGTTTTATTGTCGTTTTTATCTGTTTAGCCTCTAGAGCCGTTCACCTCGACGTAGCCTCGGATTACTCCGCCGACGCCTTCATCGCTGCCTTGCGCCGGCTGATCTCCAGGCGTGGGATCTGCATCTCATTGTACAGCGACTGTGGAACCAATTTCGTGAGTGCTGACAGGCAGCTAGGCGCTCTCTTCTCTGCTGCCAGTGCCGACGGACGCCGCATCGCCGCCTTCGCCGCACAGGAGAAAATCCGGTGGCATTTTAATCCACCGGCGGCACCTAACTTCGGCGGTTTGTGGGAAGCCGCTGTGAAGTCCATGAAACACTATCTGCGACGAGTAATAGGTGATGCCCGGCTCACCTATGAGGAGATGGCGACGCTGCTCTCACAGATTGAGGCTTGCCTCAATTCTCGACCGTTGCAGCCCCTGTCCGATGATCCTGAGGACGTAGTGGCTCTCACCCCGGGACACTTCCTAATCGGTTCCGCTCTCTCCGCCGTACCGGAACCGTCGCTCGAGAGAGAACCTTCGGCCCGATTATCGCGCTGGCAGCTCCTGCAACAGATGAGGGACCATTTTTGGTCCCGGTGGTCCAGCGAGTACTTACATACGCTGGCCCATCGGCCAAAATGGTCCCGAGTCAACCAGGAGGCTTGCATCGGTCGGCTGTGTTTGATTCGAAGCGAGCATACTCCACCAACGAGGTGGCCGCTCGCGCGCGTCACGCGCTTGCACCCGGGATCCGACGGCCACGTGCGCGTGGTCGAACTACGTACCGCTAATACCAATTTGACGCGACCCGTAAGCAAGTTAGTATTTTTGACCGACGGCGCCGAAGTTTCACTCGAATCAAAATCACACGTCGTAAGCGATTAACCTAATTTAAAAAAAAAAAAAAAAAACTTCACACTTTCCGCTATTAGATATTCACATTCATTTGCACATCACCGTCATATCGTTGCACTCATGTTATCACCATACTTTGTTACAGGTAGAACACTAAAGATTGTTCCGAATTTCCGCGACGCTTAACCGACACGCGTCTATACTGACGCCCGACACAAACTGCTGATCGGCTCAGCATTCTATTGACAAATTCCGTCGGAGCACGTGCGCTCCACGTGCCAGTCACTCGCTAGCGCGTGAATAGGCGCGCGCCCTTACTTTCGCGCTACGGTTCTTATATTGCAGGTGTACTGCAAGGCGGGCGGAATGTTCGAAATCGAACGGATAAAGAAAGCTGAAAGGAAGGGCATTAATGTATTACAATCAAATTCATGCAATATAAGCATGCAGCATGCACATTACGTATATAAAACCTTAAATTGTAACAGGCAGACTTTAATATTATTTAAATCGCGCTCGGCCGCACAAGTATACATATACCTCGCGCCTGCGAAAAAAGAAGCGCTTGCGTTAACTTTCACTTTAATCGTAAACACCGCGGTCGCGCGAGAGGAGAGAAAATCAAGTGCCAATAACAACAAAATATGACTTGCTAAAAGGTAAATAATTATCGTAAACGTACTTTCGCCCTTAACATCTCGATCGAACAAGGGAAAATGTTCGCGAAGGTTCTCGAAATCCGGGCCTATATAAACCTCCTCTCTCGTGACCGCGGTGCTCTTTCCGATTGCTCGTCGCGAATAGAGTGTGCTTCTACTTTCCGAAAAAGATCGCTTGTCTTTTTCGGTTTTCTCGTCTAATTACCGTTGCTTGCGGAACAGTCAGTAATTTATTTTCGACCCGGCTTTTCTCTCGTTTATTGCATTCATTTCTTATACATTCGACTCGGCTATCTTTTGGTAATTTCTGTGCGGTAAAACAATTGTAAATTTTGTTAATAGTTGAAATATATTTTTTGTTAACGATACGCGTGTGTCGAGTGTAGTGCCTATCTATCGTCTCGCTTCCGACCGCCCTTTCCCGCTATCCGTTGTGCACAATCTTTCTGATGTAAATGTTTCTGATATGAATGGAATAGACATAAATAATTTTGAAAATTGTGGTACAAATTTAAATAATAATAATGGAGAAGAAATGATTCACGAAGTACTAGCTGAAAATAAATCCACGTTTACATCTATCACTGAAAATACTGAACTGGACAGCACTATAGTACCATTTTGTGATTTAAACGGAGTTAAGAATTCTTCTATAAACAACGATATAAATAACAATGACAATAAATTATATTGCAGTAACTCACAAATTGAAAATGTCTCGCAAAATACAGGTATGTATATTTTTATTAATTTGTTCCTTTAAAAAGTATTTAATTATGTTCGCAATATTGGTTTCGCTAAAAACAGTATATTTACAGTATATTTAAAAAGAACAATATTATAAAAGTTAAATTTAGATTTGTTATTAAGCTTAAATAAAATATTTAATAATTTTTATCCATCAAATTATTACGTAGGGTAATATAAACTAATACTAATTTAATAACTAAAAATATAATATAAACTAATTTTTAATTTTTTTTCTTCGCTCACAATAATAAAAAAGTAACAGTTTACGTAGTTAAGCGTCGTTTACAATGAGATTTTAAAACGTAAGACGTAAGAAATTGAACAATCACAGACAAGATTAGAGAAGAATAATCTCTCTTCGACTGTATTGGTCAATTTCTTAAGTCTTACGTCTAAAAATCTCATTGTAGACGACGCGTTACATATTGTTTATAAATTCTTTTGAATTAAGCTAATTTAATGTAAATAATGTGGTATACTTTTTAAATATAATTTAACTTTAATTTGTTATTTTTAAAAATTAA